ACAGCACAGTTAATTTGTGGCCCATGTAACTTAGCAAAAGGTTACATATAAGACATCAGAATTGTAGTTAAGATGGTATTTTGTTTTTATTCCAACTTGCTTTTATGATTTGAAATGTCAGCCTCTCACCCCTTTCCAGGAATCTTGAAGAACCATGCTCTTCCTAGGAACTGTAAATCCCCCAGTGCCACCATGACTAATGATTTCTACTGGACTCTTTGCTTCTCATCCCTTAACCCCAGTGCTTCACAATTTGAGTCTTCACACAAATCTCCCAAGTATCTCATTGCACCAGTTTTAGATGGTCTGGGTTCCGAGAATGTTTCCTCGCACTACTCTGTTAAAGTGTATCTTTGCTGTATTAGGTTTGAGGTAGTCTCTATCAAAAGATTAGGCATTTGAGTGATTTCACCAAGTCTTCATGCAGTTTTTAGTGCCCGTGATTCAGGGTCTAAAGATTTATTCTGTTACCTTCTGCCTGAGGGTGGGTTACTCACATTACTGAATCACCTTGCAGAGGGTAGGGTAGGTCGTGTCTTCCTTTTCTATGTGGTAGTTTTATCAATCGAGATGGGCAAGGTTATGCTACTTCAATAGGCAAAGCCAAAATCTTAGTGGTTCAAAACAACAATATATTCCACTATAAGCCTATGTGAGTTGGCTAAGGGACCTGTTCCTTCTTATCACTGTCCTCATTCTGCAGAAACTGACAGGGCAGCCACTGTTGAAGAACTGCCCATCACAACCACAGAGGGAAAGGAGACTATAAGCAAGAACTGGTTCTTAAGGCTTCTGCTTGAAGTGACACGCTTGCCTTTCAATGCCCAAAGCAAGTCAAACGGCTAAACCTGACTTCCATGGGGCAGGGAATTCCCCCAGGGAGGGACATGGGACATTGATGAGCTACAGTAAAAATCCAGGTGAGCCAGAAGCTCAAGCCTCCATTATCATTGCTCCCGAGGGAACTAAGAACCCCNTGTCTGACTTTGCTAATGGGCATGTGGATAAATTTGTCTTTTGATCCATAGGTTCACCTCAGGTGAAAAACCGCTGCCAGAGATAAACGTTACCATTTTCTAGAATTTTAGAGTTGGAAAGAAGTTATGCAACACAAGAAAAACTCTCAACAGGACGCTCAGAAAAGAACATTGGTGTGGTGGCTCTTCCGTACTATGTGCATAACACTTTTAAGGCTATAACTGAGAATCAATTTGAGGAGAGGTCTGCAAACATAACATGCGGTCAGCTTGGGTGACCAGACAATTGATCCATTCATCTCAAATTAATTGATTCCTATTGTCATAGTTTTATCATTGTGACTGATTTATTTCCACTGAAATTAACATGCACCATCACTAAACACCCCGCCCCCTGCAGCCTCAACCGTCCCCCTAATGATCATGAATGTAAATCTGTATGCTCCTCCTAAAACGGGGTGATTAATTAAAAAAAAAAAAANCCTAGTGTCCTGCCCCAATGTACCAGATACCAGGAGTGGATATAAATGTATATTTTTTGTCTTTGTAAATCAAGATGCGGCTCTATTCCTTAATAAGAAATAACTTACTAATATATTATTTTAACAAGTTAATTGGAAAGGATACCAATATAGGTGGAATATAAATGTCATTTTTAAGGGTATTTAATAGATTTTGATTATTCATGACTATAGACCTTTTTTTTTCCTGTTTTCTTTTTTGGCCTACCATTTTGAAATGTTTTCTCATGGACCTTCTTTTCCTACTTCTCTTCCAAGGATATATATATATATATCCTATATATATATATATATATTTCCATAAAAAACTAGGGTGCTTGTTAAAAATTCAGATTCCTGAGTTATAACTCAGAATAATCATGGGTGACTCTGTAAATCTATGTTTTTACTTTATATCTGAGATACAGCTTATGACAATAATGGTTGAAAAACATTGGCCTTGATCATATGCCTTGAACCTGTCCATTAATTTTTATGTGATCCACGGCTGGCCTTTGGTGCTGTTAGGTAGGCCTTGTTTCCTTTCTTTTCCTTTTTTCCTTTTCATACCTTTTTCTTTTCCTTTTTTCCTTTTCATTCCTTTTTCTTTTCCATTTTCTTTTCCTTTCCTTTCCTTTTTCTTTTATCCTTTCCTTTCTCTTTTATCCTTTCCTTTCTCCCTCTCTCTTTTCTTTTTTTTTCTTTTTCTTTCTTTTCTTTTTTATTTTTTTTTGTATGAGGTTGAAGCTTAATCTGTCTGACTTTGCTAATGGGCATGTGGATAAATTTGTCTTTTGATCCATAGGTTCACCTCA